TAAGCCAACAAAAATAAAAAAAAAGACAAAAAGAAAATACTAGAAAAATAAAATTGATAAATAAAATGAAGAGGCAGTGCTTCTGAGAAATCAGGTAAATAGACAATTTTTGGTACGCAATAGCAAGAAAAAGGACAGAACTTTTGATATGAATCAAATAAGGGAAAAAATGCGTACCAACTCCAATATCCTTGAAAATCTTAATAAAATGTTGTTTTCTAGGAAAAAATAAATAATGAAATAATTCTAGAAGAGGTTGAAAACTGGAGTAAATCAATAACTACAAAGAAATCTTAAAAACTGTCAAAAAAATTTCCTCAGAAATGGCATTAGGACCAGATGGCTACATAGAAGGGTTGTATTAGTTTTCTACATATTTATAGCATCCCAGAACACAGAAAAACATGAAAAGGTTTTCAATTTCTTTTTTCAAAGGTATCACAACCCAAATGCACAACCTAACCAGAAAGTATAAAACTTTAGTCTCAGGATGGATTTAAAAAAACAAAAACAAACATACAAACAAAAAAGCTAAGTAATTAGAAAAATCATACATACAGCATATTAAAAAGAAGGCTTAATTTCAACAATTCAAATGTTTACCAATATAAATCTATGCACATTATTTGTGCTAACAAGTATAGACTATTGTATGATCACCTTAATACCAGAAAGGCATTTGACAAAATTTAACATATTCCTGAGTTAGATGAGAACAAAACTTTATAGAGTATTATATCAGAAACCAACAGCAAATATCATACTTAATAGAGAAACACAGAAGTATCCCCATTGCAATACAGAAAAACAAAAGTATATCCTTTAGTATTACATATTTTGAACACTTTTTCCTGTAGGTCATACCAAGGCAATAAGATGGTGGGGGAGGGGATACTTTTATTACAAATAATAAAAATGAAAAGATAAAATGCTCTTGAAAATAACATGACTTTATGCATGACAAGAAAGGAGAATCACTTGGAAATTAAAAGAAATGATATAGGGGCCGGCCCGGTGGCGCACTGGATAAGTGCACCGCTTGGGAAGCGCGGCGGCGCTCCCGCCCGAGGGTTCGGAT